TACATATCCAATCCAACCCACATAGCCACAGTAAAGCCATAGCGCCGTGCTGTGCTGCTCTTACTCATTGGTCCCACAACAAGGACCCTTACTGTGTCTGTATTTCCCAACAAAGACCGCCTCGGAAATGTATGCATTATGTTTTTGAGCGTGGCCGCGTCCAAAAGCAACTCCCAGGCCGAATCCTCAGCCCTTCACATCCTCCCCCTCCAAAGGTGAGTTGAGGGTAAGGCGTCCACGACGAGGAAGGTGAGTGCACCGGAAGGCAAAAGGAGGAATAAGGTTCTTGGGGTTGTTTTCGGACAGGGAATTATTTACGTCTTTCATTTTATTTTCTAACAGTGTTTCTCCTACTTGTCTGTCAGACCTCAGGAAGATTTTCAAGCAGGGTCTTAGATCTCTTTAAAGTTAGTGAAGTCAGTAAACTGAACGTCCACAGGATCCAGCAGCTTTGCGTCACCGCTGTTTCACTGTCCTCAGGAAGCGTTTCAGAAGCAGAGCATCTGCTCTTCAACAGCCATATTTCTAATACAGTTTAGAATTGCTTCGCTGTAATGTTTGGTGCTGTACAGTACACATTTGCATCTCATTTAGCTGTGGAAACAGATGGTTTGTGGCTGCACTTTAATTTGTTTAATTATTTGACTACCCCATGCCTGAATAGTGTATATAGCATAGCCTGCATTGGTAAAATGTATGGATGCACATCTTTCTGGGCTGTCTGTCCTCGCTAGGCTGTTTTACCCCAAAAAGCTATTGCAGAACAGACCTGCCCAGTGAGGGTCACGAGCTGTGTGGCATTAAAACGACCTTTTGCCGCCTGCTGTGATCGTTCATTTTAAATGTTAGTGATATAAATAAATATGTAATTACTACTGCAGTGCTTGGGAACATGTGCTATTTATGAGCCATGATTAAATCACTATTTAATACTCTTTAAGTTATCCGACAGCAGAAACTGAAAAATATGTAAATGAGAACAACTATATTGTGAACTCAGGCTTAGACTCAGCAGACCAGGCTGCGGCTGTCCCACTCCTGGCTGCGATGTGCAGTTTTGTTGATTGTCAACTCAAAAGAGGATGCAAGAGGATGAGAAGTAGCATTAAAACTCTCTCCCCCTCTCACTTTCTCCTTCTCTCTCAAACTTGTTTACAGGAAAAGCTTGTTTTGCTGTGTAAGCCTTGCACTTAAGTAACAAATGAAATACATCACTAAATATTGATTGCCAAGAAATATATAATTTTCCATGCATTCACGAATGAACGTCACGCTTCAGGGATGCAAAATTAGATCCAGCATATTCACGTTGCTGCCAGATCCAGTGGACATTAGCCATAAAAGCAAAAAGTATTGTTGAGCAACATAGCCTGTTTTTGTGAGCCACTTAAGAGAAAAAGACTTTTGGGTCACCAATATAAAGTTCTCTACATATTCTTGAAGTTGTACGTAGTGCAGTTATTTAACAAACATAATGAGATCTAAGCCCCTGTGAGATGATTATCCTGGATCTTGGTCTGTTAAATGTACACAGAACTGGTGTCCAGTATGAGGGTGGAGATGCAGAAGGCAGGCATCGTGACCTGAGGTTTGCAGGCTGTGACCCCTCCGTGCCTTTGCACCCATCCTCGTTTCCTTTCAAAATGATGAGAGCCAAGGGAGGAAGCTGCCGCATCAGTGAAGGAGGGGAGAGAAAGGAGAAGCTTAATATTTTCTTTGAATGTCTGAATATCTTTCTCAGAAAATATAATCATTTGGATGCCAGTATGGTCTCAAAGCAGGAGCAGCATACACTCCTCATTAAAAGCAGCTCTCCTCTTTTCTCTGTGGAGGAAAAACGAGCAGTGGAAGTACAGGAGAGTTGGGGCACCTGGTGTAATTTCGCTTTCAAAACTTTCACCTTTTCTTCCCCTCACCTCATTCCCTTCCTTCTCCTCTAGAGACTAATTGAGCTTTAGCCAAAAAGTTTCTCTCTCCTTCCTTCCATTTTTTCTCCCTTATCCCTCTATCTGTTGTTTGGTCTTACCCTCTTTGCCCCATCCATAATTTTAAGGAAAATGCTTATACTTCCAAAACAAAAGGGAGAAAGTAAACCAATATCACCTCAGCAATCCCATACTATATTAGACTTTTTCTTGGCTGTGTGTTTAAATATATTTCGCTGAATGAAAGTAGGAATGTAAATGGGACAGCAGATATGCCACGCTAGAAAGAGAAAAAAGTTGTACCAAAAAATAGCGCCTTTTCTAGCATATATAAATGAATGAGGGAGTATAGAGGAGGAGGTGAAACAAAGCAACTGCTGCTACGTGTGAGTGTGTCTGTCTACCTTTGCTCGCTGTGCACCTGCAGACAGTAAGTAGAACAGAGTAAAAATAATGTTTGCTCATCTATAGATGATGGAGGATCTCGTAAATAGGAACTCCCAATGAATAAAGCTGTTCCCGCAAGGGCTATACCTAACCCTGATTCAAAGACATGTTCCAAGACTTTCCCAAGATGCTCTAAACCTGCTTTTTCACTGTCCGAAAGTATAGCCTCATTTATAAAAAGCAGCTGACAAGATGAAGGAAGTGTTGCTGCAGGACCTGAGATGTGGAAAAGTGAAGCAGGTGACTGAGTATGTCATCCCGTTTTAGTGCATTTATTTGAGAAGCCAGACCAAGCACACCAGAAGCCACATTATTTTTCACTTTCTGGCACGCACATCTCCGTAGGAGTTCAGGAGCAGTCAGGCTCCAACAATGGCTGCCCTGCGGTTCAGCCGGTACCACTAGTTTTCAGGTTCATCTCCCCTGTTGTCAATATCAATAATTACCAGCAGGCGCAAAATTAGCTCTCAGCAAAGATGACCCTGAACACAAATATAGAATAATTAACTTGAAGGCAGTTCAAGCTGAGCTGAGTGCAGATCTTGCTAAACCCTCAACTAATTCTCTCCAAATTGCAGGCTTTATACTGGGGCTATATTTTATTTACAGAGAAGACAAACAGGCATTAATTTTAAACAGACTTACACTAGAGACAGGCCTTTATTTTTATTTGTCACATGTCTTAAATATATTTAATGAAATTTTAATAAGTCCCTTCCCTGTTCTCCGATCTGCACCCAGTTTGGATTTGTTGTTTGCTGTTATGCCAACAATTCTTCCATGTTGACCTTGACAGATTCAGGATAATGTACATTTCCACACCACTAATTCCATCCGTTATGCCATACAACAACAGCCACAATTTATGTCTCAGTTACTACTCTGCTTCTCTGCTTCCACTGGGGTACTCCAGGGGCTTGTGAGAAACAGGTAAAAAAAAGAGAATGGTCAAAAATAAAGCAGCAGAGGCCAAAATACCCTGACCTGTAGTCCGTAGTAAGGGTCCCATCCCCAAAATCCTGAATCCTACATTTCCCACAATGCATCTAGTTAGCATTTTATATATACAGTGTTACTGCCTGACTGACACATCTTTCACTCCAACACAACTACAACTCCATGCCCCTATTTTGAAACACAAACTTTAGAAAGTTCCCTCCAGAGCCACAGAAGACATTATACTGTTTTCACAGGCTGTACTGTAAGTGTAAAATTGGTGGAGTGCCTCTTCAGTAGTAACAGTAGTCTTACTAATTAATTCCAGCTTTGACTTTGCCATTTGGTTGGTGTTACTTAACCCATCCTGCGGAGATATTTCACATTAAAAGCCTTAGAGAAGCCTCACCGGGCAACATTTTCATCATCTTCAGGAAGTGTCAGGTTTCTTTGAAAGCAGTTTAATACCAAATGAAACAGTTGAATGAACAGTTAAGTTGAAGGAATTAGAAATAATTAGTGAGTAAAAACAGTATTTCTATGAAAAAGAGAAACTCGGAGCAGTAGACTGGTTACTGATTTAGTGCTGTGGAAATGTACAGTAGTTTAAAGTAAATTGACCTTTTACTTTGAGAATATTCTGGGCTCTCCATTAACAGTAAGTGCATACCCTTCTTACCTCAAGAAATTAATTTTAATCCCAAAAGATCAGGGATGGATGGGTATTCTGTTAACGAGCTCTGCTTACTCAGCTCTCCTGTCTTATTCCCTGATCTATGGGTGGAGTTACAATAGGGAAACCACTAGGCACACACACATACACACTCATGGGAATCATTCCAGCCCAGCACAGCTGCAACCACAGCAGCACACCTGGACTAATTGGGCAGGGAGGAAGAGTTCCCAACACCCAAAGGACTTTTGAGTGTGCGAGTCATGTGTGAGTCCGTCTTCCCTTTTACCGTGTGACCATGAGCCTCTCCTTCACTGATGGAGTGATAAGGTGATAGATGGGGCAAGCTTCCTCTCTCCTCCTCATCCCAACTCCCAGCCCATCCATCCATCCTCTGTGGATGGAGGGAAGAGGTGAGGAACAAAGTGATAGATGAGTATGGAGAACTTTTGTCCCAAGTTCTGTTCTGTTCTTAAGGGAGGGAAGTGAAAGGAGTAAGGGGAGGCCGAGTCACGTGACGATCAGAGAGACAGGGGGGAAAAATGGCCAAATCTCCAGACAACAGCCTCACACACTGAGCAATGCTGTTTATCTCCTATCACACGCACTCAGGGGAGAGTTCATTTAAATAATTGTTGATCAGAGAGGAGATTTGATTTGATTAGTCATGACGCAGACAGCAGGAGGGCCTGGCTGGAGTCTCTCCTTCTCTCTATACGTTACCTGATCGGCATCCCCTTTTCTAATTACTTCACATCTCTCTTTACATATTCTTAATACCATCTTTAACACATTTAAGTGTGCAGGAGGGTGTTGTTGTGTTTCACTAACCACTTTTTTTTAAATCAGCTTTGGTGGCTCCAGTCCTCAACACAGCAGGTCTACTGTACAGTGTCCAAGTACATTACCTCCTATCTCACTTTTTGAACGCCACCTCCTCCTCCCCCTCCTCCTCCTCCTCCTCATTACCCCGCTCCCCTCACCCCACCCCACCCCCCACTACTTCCCACTTCCAACAGAAGCTCAGAGTAAGCCCTACTACTCCGATTACTCCCCCACCCGCCTGCTCATCCACAAGATGTGTACCAGCCAATATCTGGACCTGTTCATCACCATCGTCATAGGGCTCAACGTCATCGCCATGTCCATGGAGCACTACGAACAGCCCAAGGTCAGAAGTGGGGGGAGAAAGGTGGGGTAATGATGGACTCTTTGCTTCAAATGTTTATACCCCATGGGCTCGAATAATAATTGCAAATAATTCCTAGAGTTTGTCTTATTGCAATAACTTGTTAGACTAGATTTGGTATGATGGCTACAGTGCTCTTTGTTTGCATACTGGGTCAGTCCTACACTGATTAAAAAGTATGTAACTGATCCAGCCACCCTGTGTTGGGCTGTATTCACACCAAATCAGACAGAAAACACTAGTCCTCCCATTCATTCTTATGTAGGTAGTGCGTTTAGGCTACAGTGGTAGGGAGTGCAGGGGATGCCGAAAAAAAATCTGTGGCCCTGCAGGGTCTGTCAGCTTTTGGAGAAACCCAACCCGACGCCACTCTGCAGTAGCCAAGAGCGAAAAAGAGAGAGAGAGCAGAGGTGGTTGAGTTAGCTAGAGAGTGAATAAAAAGAGGGAGCAGTGGTAGTGATATATCATAGAAATAAACTTTATTTTCTTAATAAACATGCCCACACCTCCGCACAACCCTGCAGGAAGGTCTGCAATGCTTGATTTGATGTGAATACGGCCTCACAGTATAGTTTAAGTGTCCAAAAGTCTGGCTGTAAATGTTTCAAAAGCATTTTCACTCAAGTTTTAAAAAATACCCAATATTGGCTATTACAGACTTTGTTCTAGTATCTACATTAGCCTTTAAAATTGAATGCCATTGGAATATTACTGGAATATATTTGAATCTCCCTGGAACAGCAGGTTAATGGCCTCATGGGACTCCAGGTAGTGTCAAGTATAAAAGCTGTGCCAATGATAATACAATACTAATAATAATAAAAAACGACTTATTAAACACCCTTATTATTTCCTTAAACCAGCCTGACAAGGGGATCAGGTCTACACAAAAAGAAAGGAAAGTAAGATAAGAGTTGTAAAAGCCTGGTAAGAAAGCCAACAGTGAACTATAAAAGGGAGGTTTCAAAACAATAACAGTGAGATCATTACAGAGTCAATAAACAAGAGAAAGACATATTAAAAGGGTTTAGAATAATGCTGTAAAAAACTGTATAAATGTAAGGTAATGGTGTACCGCAAATTTCATCCATTTGATAAACCCAAAAGGTAATACAAATTACCTTTGTACAAATACAAAGCCATGGTCTGGTATGGATATTTAGGATTTACAGCCCGTATCCATATTCCACTCATTTTAGAAATATTTCTATTGCTTTTAACATATTGTTGGCCATTTGCTTTATCATTTGCTTTTTTCACATCAGCCATTTGGACATGAAATAGTAGGGTAAACACAGGTGTTATCAATGATACTTATTAAGGTTTCCGTTCCATTTAGTGTAGCAGAGCCTTTCCAGTGAGCCAAACTGTCTAATAGCAACCCCCTGACTCTGTTTGACCCGAATGGAACACCTGTGTTTAGCCTACTATTTAATGTCCAAATGGCTGCTGGGAAAAAGGTCTATTCCAGAAGAGACTCAGAGTCAAAGAGAAGCTGAATAAAAGAGAGGGGTACCTGCAAAAAAAGAACATATGGTGACAGGACGGATGAGAAAAAGCATGGTAGATGGGAATGGGGTAGAGTGGAAGGTAGTATGGGATGTAACTTTGAGTGGACGAATTGCCACCAGTGAGGCTTTAGTGAAATCCCTGTTGACCACCAGTTCTCTCCTCGTCTCGCTGCTAAAGGTCAGTTTTTACATGCAGATGGGCGCTGTGAGTTCTCCCACAGGCAAAAATGGACAGTTTGATAATGGCCTTTTCGTGGGGAATGAGGGAGGAGGAGCGGAGGGCGACGAGAGTGATCTATTAATGGAACGGCTAATTCTGGGGAAGAGGACAGAGTTTACAATATGGACCTTTTGGTATTTCATGCGAAGGCTGTAAATGTATTTGCAGAGCAAAAATACTCACCATAGCAAGCCATTTAGTGCAACTAAGTCGAGTTGGAAGATTGCAATGGGGTGAGATCTTTTCATTGGTTTTCAGTGCAGTCTCAGCACATTTCATTACATGAAACCCACAGCTTACTCTGCTGAGATAATAGAAAGTTTAATACTAGGTACACTGCCCTGTTAAGATAGATACTTGTGCAGTTTATTAACCTTTAATATGTCTCTCCCTGACATCCCCAGGAGCTGACCAAGGCACTTAAGATCTGTAACTACATTTTCACGGTCATCTTTGTACTGGAGTCCGTCTTCAAGCTGGTGGCCTTCGGCTTTCGAGGCTTCTTCAAAGACAAGTCAGTATTTAACCGCCATGCTTCCCAAAGTGATGTAACAGCCGTTTCCAAACAATCTTGGACACAGATCAGACAGAAATCCTGAATAAACATTTACCGCCCAGTTTAGGGTTTTGACATTTGAGGGGGACATGATATTGTAATGAATTGGTGGTTAAAGGTGCCGTTCTTTAACCTCTGAGTCATGTGGAAAATGTGAGGCAGAGTTCGGAGGAGCTTAATTGAGCTTTTTCTAAGGTGCTCCAGTGGATGGTTCTCAGTGAGGCCTGTATGAATACAAACGGCCTCGTTAAACACCCATAAAACACGCTGCCTTAGATGATTTCATAGCTTCGAAATCCCTGGCGTCCCGCTGCAAACCGCACAATAATGCACAAACACAATCCCAACAGCCCAAACGTATCTTACCACACATCAGACATACATGAATACACACACTAACACACTCACCTCAGTGGAGGCATTGTGTTTTTGGAGCAGAGCTGACCACCAAGGGCTCCATGATGTCTATTCTCTTTGCCAGAGTAGACCATTATCCTTTTTGCATTTGGCAGCAGCCCAGTTTGATATTACCTCACTACACACACACACACACACATACACACACACAGGTACACACAGATAAATACAACATTTAGCCAAGACCTCTAGTTTGACAGTCTCATTGAATTTTAAGTTGATTTGCTTGTGTTCATTCTGCTCGTAGAAAAGAAACAATGGAAATTGACAAACCTGATTAGTACGACCACCCACCACTATCTTCACAGACTTTTAACACACTCATTCTGTTCCAAACATTTTGCTCAGTGCACATTTATTGCACAGGGGCTGGAAAATTAGATCTGGTCCCAACACTTTGATCTCAAGTCAAGTCACAGTATCTGGGAAAGAAATTTGCCTGCTGATTCCTGATCTGAGTGCACCATATCTATCTTTATGATATACTAAAATGAAATTATATCAGTGTCACTTTTTTAATCTGCCTCATAACACTGAAATACTCTTCACACGGGCATCCAGAAAATGATCCATCTCTTAAATTTAAAGTTTATGTGATTAGTTAATTGTGTATGACTAAAGTGTTGGCTTTATTATGTAATTTCTGGACTATTACAGTGATGCTTCACACAAAATCTTTTGAGTGTCAGATATTCCCAGTAAAGCTTGAAGTTTGTACCACAAACCATATATATACTAAATACCACACATAATAATATGATCAATGAAACCATAAAAATCTAACAAACCATCAAACATTTATCATCATAAATTAATTACAACTATAGCTAGATACGGAACTTTAATATACACTGCATATCTGTTTGTCACTCGATGAACATGCACATGCAGTGACAAAACCGATCATTTCAAATCAAGCCACGCGACTAGCTCGTGACAAGACTTTCCATACATCTTCACATTCACAGCTATAGTCTCGATCACTCAGTTATGTAATTTCTCACCAAATATATCATCCTGTGTATACCAGTAACCACCCAAAACCAAGAACAGTTGTCAAGAATAATATCAACATGCAACATTAAAGGACAACCATGTAGATTTAGTGGCATCTAGGCGGTGAAGTTGCAGATTTTCAGCTAACTGAACACTGCTCAGGGTGCCCTGGTAGCTCTCCTGGGTTCTTTCTGCCAGCTGCCTGTGGGTTTAGGTCCGGCCTGGGGCCCTTTGCTTTTGTTGTCCGCTAAAATCCCTTTTCTCCCCCCTTTCCTGTCATTCTGCAGCTGTCGTTGTCAATTGAAGGCAATAAAATCCCCAAAAAATGTTTGAAGAAAAAAAAACTGAACACCGCTCACATCTGTATCCGATGATCTGGGAATAAGAGTGTGTAAGTGAAACTACGATGGCTGCCAAACCTGCGAAAAATAAAAAATGTCCTATCTACAGTCAGTGGAGGTGACCCGCAGCGGTAGATTATAAACAGCTCATTCTAAGATAATCAAAACACAGCAATTCTTATTAAGGGGAATATACACTAATGACAACATACCTATGAATATTATATTCCATTTCTGCCAATAGATGCTCCTAAATGTTATACACTGGGCATTTAATAAGAAAATGCAACTTTTTCTCACTATTGTTGTACATACTTAAAGGTCCAGTCAGAATTTACTGTTGACAGAAGTATAATACTCATAGGTATGTTTTCATATGTTAGTAATCACCTTAAAATAGGAAGAATTGGGTTTTAGTTACCTTAGAATGAGCCGTTTTTATCTACAGGAGGAGTGGGTCCTTTTTTACAGAGTCCGCCATGTTGAACCACCATAGTTTCTACTACACACTTGGAAGACTGAGCTTTTTTATAAAATGGTTACAATCTGCAACTTTCACTTACTGAGATGCCACTAAATCCCTACACACCGGTCCTTTAAAGAAACATTTTCAAATTAGGGAATACCTTTGTTAGCTTTCCAAAAAGAAGATCAATACCATTCTCATCTACCAAAATATGACACTAGAGCGAGTAGACGTTAGCTTAGCTTAGCATTAATACAAAATCTTCTGGATTTGAAGAATCTTCATATTTAACGCTTGTCAAAAAACGATTTATTTAAAGCATAAAAAGTAGCAATTTATACCTCGTGCTTTGTAATGAGCTCCTCTAAACATGAACTTTAGTACAAGCTGTAGTTTTGTGTCCTTTAATGTGTGAAGGGAGCTGTGAATGGCAGGTGCTGAAACATGACTGCTACAATGAAACAAATTGGTTTGGCCCTGGTTTCCCAACAGTGTGTGGGAGTACTTTAAAGACCAAGTGAAGACACAAATTATTGGTTTTGAAGTCAAAATTGAGTTGTCAGTCTAAAGTAATCAGGTTTATGACTCTATTCTGGCTCAAGTCCAGGTAATATGACTCCAGTTCACATCTCTATACTAAAGGAAATGACTCAGATATTGATAATTTTGATGATTTGTTTAGGTCAGATTTTACAGCCAGTCACATTTCAGGTTTCAGTGACAGGAAGATCAGTCAGTCAGTGTTAGGGATTGATGAGTGTGTGTGTGTGTGTAGGTGGAACCAGCTGGATCTGGCCATCGTGCTGCTGTCCATCATGGGCATCACTCTGGAGGAGATTGAGGTCAATGCATCCCGGCATATCAACCCCACCATCATCCGCATCATGAGAGTGCTGAGGATAGCAAGAGGTAGGAAGCCCCCCCCCGCCCCTCGTCCTGCCCATCCATCCTTCCCAACCCCTCCCTGACACACTCTCTCACACACACGTGCGCACTTTGGTCTGTCTCATAGTGCTGTACTTTTAAGATGCCTTATAAAACAGCCACGTCCGTGGGACTCCCCTCTTTGTCATTTTTGCATGGCAGGTCTCAGCAGGGCTCAGGCAGGGTGTGAGTCGACCAGATGGCACAGAGAAACACAGTCAGCTGACAAACACAAAGCACTGAGAGGGGGCAGAGAGAGAGAGGAAGAAATATAGGGACAAAGGCTGGGAAAGGAGAGAGGTGAAGAAAGATAGCTGAGGGTGGGGGAGAGTCACATGATGACAGTAAGTGAGTTAAGCTGCAAGAAACTGAGGTATGGAGGGAATAAATGAGAGGAGAGGGGAAGAGAGGAGGAATAAAAGGAAGAGGCAGGGATGATGAATAACTTCTGACCTGAAAATAGATTACAAGAAGATGGAAAGAAGTTGAAAAGAGGAGCAATCGATGTTCGAGTGAAAAAAGTTGAGTGAACGAGGATAATGAGAGATAAATGAATGGAGCAAAGGTATGTTGGTGGGCGAGAGAGAGACAGAGAGAATACAGTATATCCGGAGAGAGACTAAATGGTGCCAAAGGGTGGAGGAGGAAGGTTGAGCTAAAGAGACGGGATGGATTTGGCAGGGATAGGGGATAGCTAAACTGCGCGTGTGCTTCAGGATGATTACTTGTCCAGGTAATTAAAGATAAGAGAGGGCTGGAGGGGAGGAAACAGGAGGAAGAGATGAGGTGAGCCGAAAGAAGGAGGAGATAAGACCGGGCAGGGGGGAAGCCCATCTGTTCTGTCTGATTACTGAATGTGTAATAAAAGAAGTAGCATGGAAGTTGTTATTGATTGCTGTCACACAGAAGACCAGGCACAAACACATGTGTGTAATGTGTGTGTCATTTGAGTGGGTACAATAAGTGGCTCCTGTTTTCTATCTGGCATGACCGTGCATCTCATATTCAGACTGTGTAGACGTGATTTAGCTAGATTACATTTACACACTGGCTCCATTGTAATCACATTTGATTGTCCTCGCCAAACACTGCTGTACCAGTTACATCTTCTTGTAATGTTTCTGTTGTTCCAACTTTGATTCCATTTAAGCTGCCTAACAATAGCCGTGTCTGGATTTTCAGTACATAATTACAACATGTATTGTGAATGTATTTCATATTACATACTACTACTAGCATATACTTTTCAGACTGTACAGTGTATGTCCTGTATACATTGTCACTTCCCTGTTAAGCTCTTTTAAAATCCGGTCTGACTGAACCTTAAGAGGTGCAACAGAACTACAGTAACAGTAGAGTGAGGGAGATGTCAATCAAGCCTGGTTTGTGCACACCCACACTGAGGAGAGGGCAATGTGTGTGAAGGGTCTCTAACTGCAAACCAATATGGGTTATAGGCTTTTTTCACAGAAGACATACTGACATGTCTCAATACATTTTTGTAAATAATAATAATAATAACTGAATGCCATTTAGCTGCTTTGGTTTCAGGGTCCTGTTGTTGTGCATGTTTACTTAGAATAGAACAGAGCCATCATTAATATTATAACTCAAAAGGCACATCCACTTGTGCCTGAGGTCTCCATGCAGTGAGAATCAGTAGCAGTTTTCCAGTGGCTGTTTGATTGGATCTTTAAATTTGCCAGGATGGGCTGATTTTTCTTCTGCTATTGTTCACAATCTGAACCCAAGCCAGACTGTTTCCATGGGGATGTTCAGTATAAGCACAAAGACTTACAGCATTATGTAAGGACCCTAATGCATAATATTTTCATCTACTGCATATTGTAAGAAAACATAGTACATTTAACAATCCCAGTTTCCTCACAAATATTGCACATGCTTGAAGGAATAGTTTGACATTTTGGTAAATATGCTTATTTGAATTACATTAGAAGATCAATACTATGACAATGACTGTATGGTCAATGGAAGGGTTAAGTTAACTTAGTTTAGCACAAATACTGAACGCAGCTAACCATTCTCTATCCAAAGGTTCAAATATCCACCTACCCGCACCTGTAAAAGTTGCAAATGACCATATATCTAATTGAAACCAGTTAAACCTACACAAATAAACAAACATGTAAATATGGCAATTGGCTGTTTTATGGGCAGCGACTTGATTTCGTGGCCTAGGCCTAGGCCAGGCAGCCGGTAGAGAGTCTGTCCAGGGCCTCGAAAACTTTTGATATTGAAAACTTTTTTGTGCATCTCTACTATTCCACTCATTATTATGCATTACCTATCAGTCTGGGTGTGCCTCCATTGGTACCCCATCGCCATACCGTGACCTCATCAAGCTGCAACCCCAATCAGGAGGATATGACCTCAATCAGGCTATCTGAAAGCGTAATGTTGTTCAATAAAAAGAAACCTGTGACTACACTGACAAGCAGGATTAGTCTGTAAGTAAGGAAAATGTTGACTCCTTTCAATTTCACAGAAGGCGTGATGGCACAAGTCCCTGTCCTGTTATGTAAGACTGAACAATCTTAGTATTTGTAAGACACTTTTTCATTATCTGTGTGTGTGTATGTGTGTGTTCCCACAGTATTGAAGCTGTTGAAGATGGCGGTGGGGATGAGAGCTTTGCTGGACACCGTTATGCAAGCCCTGCCTCAGGTACTCTGTCAGCTCTATTAAATAACATCCACGGAAGCCACTGATTTCCCTTTTCCTTCCTCATCTGTAATTTTCTCCACGGATCTTTCACTTCCTAACACGTCCCACAGAAGCTGTCCCTAAAATTACATCCCCAGAGGCATTTCTTTTTTTGGTAAATATTCTTCTGTTTCAGGGCGCTGTTGTTTCCCATGAGCTTTTTGCCAACTCTAGAGACCCTTATTTGCATAACCAGCCCCCTGCAGAGATTGCGAAGTGAATGAAGCTTGAGGTTTTGTTTTGAATGATGGTGGGTGGATTTGAGGGTGCCAGAGTTGGTAAATTAGAACAACTTCTGTGGTGTTTGGATTGAGGGGAAAAAATAACACTCTTATATCTTATGTTCACAGCATTCTTTGATACCACCTCTGTCTGTCATACAGAGATTGAGCCTAATTCCTCCTAGAGCTTGTCAGAAGTGTTCCTAATTAATAAATCCGATAATAGGTGGTGATGTGGGTGTGAGCAGATTGGTTGATGGTAATTAGCATTGACACCGGCAGCAGCACACCCTGAAGCTTTTTCATTGCCTAAACCCACCTCTGTATGTGTAAAGCTGTTATTCCCTATTATGTGTTTTACTCCTTCCTCATCAGCTACACATTTTTATTCAGATTGTGCTTTTTAACTCCTTCGCAGCATTCTTGCATGGCACACAAGGGAGCTTTACCACCTGAAATTCTTAGTAATTGTTGAAACCTTGATTTCAGACAGAGGTAGACAAAGGCAGCTTCTCATTTCAAGCACATTTTGATTGTGTCAGCTGAAATGACAACTGGCTGGCAGATTTTATCAGCTAGCTAGGTGATTAAGCTAAGGTTGGCATAAAAAATCTATTAAAAAAAAACCTTCTTTGACTCTGCTGACTTATGTTTCCAGGTGACTTTTTAACGCATACCCTGCAATACCCTGTTTCTTAAAGGTTGAGTGTGTAACATTTAGGAGGATCTATTTGCAGAGAGAGAGTGGGTCCTCGTCTATGGAGTCTGCTATGATTAACTGCCATGTGTCTACAGTAGCTCAGAATGGACAAACCAAACACTGACTAGATAGGGCCGTTTGAGTTTTCTGTAAGTTTCGCAGCCACTGTAGTTTTCCCTACACACTTCACAGCCTGTTGTCATTACCAGGTCGTCAAATACAGACGTGAGTGGTATTCAGTTAGTTGCAATCAGCAACTTCACCCCTAGATGCCACTAAATCCTACACACTGGTCCTTTCAGTATGCACTTGATGGCTACACACATACACGATATCATGCTAAAGAACTAAGGTAAAAGCTACATGTCCCAGGCAAAACGTCAGCATGTAGCGGAGTCTAATCTATAAATAGAGCAAGACCGAGCTGCTAATGTTGGGAAATAATGGTTGTGCTAGTCTTGAATGGTGCTTTTTTTGTGTATGTTTTTTTTTTATAAACCTGTAATCCCACAAAATATTCAAGTATGAAATGCAGCTCTGCCTAGCTTAGTTACTACTGTAGGTAGTAAGCTAGTTAGCCATGCTAACATTTGCAGAACACAGTTTAATCCATTCCTTCCAATGCTTGTTTTCTCAGTCATGATTGGACAATCACTGTGTGTAGGTGGGGTTTAGGAAATGGTTGATTGCCATAGTGTATATATTATCTCCCGGCTGCTTCACCACAGGCCTGTATTCATTTTCTCACTGTAATGAAATGTTTGTTGTCCCTTGCCCATTGATTTTTTTTGCCAGGGATTTCTCTCCTCTGACTAATCCCTCTCTCTTCCCGTTGTGTCTCTGCAGGTGGGGAATCTGGGTCTTCTCTTCATGCTTCTCTTCTTTATCTTTGCAGCGCTGGGAGTGGAGCTGTTTGGTGAATTGAGTAAGGACATATGCACCATGCGTACAGGCAGTCAGGCAAAGATTCACACACATACATTACACATACCCGACAGTATTTAATTCTCCCCACTGTGGGTTTAATCTATCTGATGTTAATTGCTTTCTAAAGGCCTTTGTGGAAATACTATTGATTTCTGTAGCTGATGTCTAATTGAAACTAGTAGCTTTTGTGTAATACAATGACGTTACAGTTATTATCATTTCATTGCAAAGCCCTATGTTGTGACCACTAAAAAGCCTTGAAAGTCTCCATCCTCTCTATATTCATGCATCTCTTTTATGGTTTGGCTTTTCCTCTCCTTCTTTACCCCTCCCCGCTCCTGCTTGACTCCCCAGATTGCGATGACAAACACCCATGTGAAGGTCTGGGGCGCTACGCTACATTCGAAAACTTTGGGATGGCATTTCTGCTGCTCTTCAGAGTTTCCACTGGAGACAACTGGAATGGCATAATGAAGGTGAAACCAACACTGCAGTTTGGGATCCTGAACACATACATACACATACGTTCATTCTTATGTGCTGTTTATGCAACAGGAGCATAAGAGGCAGATAGTGGTGATGTGTTGGTACGTCATCCATTGGGGCAGCTTACCCAATTTTTGCAAATGACTACAAATCCGTCCCCCTCTATTATTCATCTTAGGCTAATTCTTTTGCACCCAGGGGCAAAAAATAGCCTAATACTAATACATTTTAGTAGCAGAGTGGTTCAGATTTTGCCTTTTAAGGTTCAGTTTTTAGGATACATAATTACAAATACATAACAATTCCTATACAACTATACACTTATGAAAATAGTTTTGCATATTATATTCCATT